CGTCTAACATTGATGTCACACGGATCAAACGATCAACTAAAGGGACTTCATAAAACTGGAAATACTCACATACCGTAGCTAACCACTGCACGGGTTTGGTTCCATCACATCTTGGGGGGCAACGTTGGTGGAGAAGGTGCACCCATCACCTTCCGTATAATACCCATAATGTGTGCTCTAAAAATTTGTAACTCAAAAGGAATTTGGCTTGGCACAATTGGAGGTCCTGTACCGAGCAAAAAATTTCTACGTCAAGCGCATCATAATCAATTTGACCTTTAAAATTATGGATCAACCTGAGCTTCATAATAATTTCATACACGTGATCAAAAATCAAACACACCCCTTCATCATACTCAATTTCTCCATAAAGAACGTTCTCTAACAAATCAAGAAGCATGTCCAACGTTGAGTCCATTGCTAAATAAACTACCACCAAAAAAATACCTTTATGTATGTATTGATGGCAGTGGCTTCCTGCGTACAATTGCAACAATAATTGGAAAAATAATTGGGCAGAGTCAATTGAGTGAAGCAAGCCAAAGGAGAAATTTTGCTTTCTTGAAGTTGTTGATCGGCAATTGGGGACGAATGACTTTTCTTGATCACCAAATCAATTTTTGATAACATTTGCTTTCTTGTCATAGTTACTATTTTAGATTTTTGATAACATTTTTTGCACTAAAATGTCCCAATTCTCGGCAGTTGTAAGATTACTAAATATTAGAACAGATCGCAACTTGTCCGAGAGGTGTTATGACACAATTTGCCAATTCTTCAAAGACGAACTTCTCGAGAATAATTCTATGTTTCTGACTTTTATGAGACGAAAAAACTTATTAAAGGCTTGGGACTTCCAATGGAGAAAATCTATTCATGTGTCTTAGGTTGCATGTTTTTTTAGGGTCTAGATGCTGAGCTCACCAAATGTGAATTCTATGAGAAGACAAATTACAAAGACAACATTAAGAAGATACCGAATAGATACATGGTCTATTTTCCCTTAACTCCCATGATAAAGATATTATACATGTCAAAGAGAACAACTGAGTATATACGTTTGGCATGCGGAGCACAGTTTTGATAATAAAGGTGATATGTGTCATCCATGTGATTCCGAGGCCTGGAAACAATTCAACCTTTCTAATCTAAACTTTGCTTCTAAAGTTCAAAGTCTAAGGTTGGGTCTATGCACAAATGGTTTTTAACTTTTCGGCCAATCGGGTTCTCAATACTCATATTGGCAACTAATGGTTACAATTTATAATCTCCCACCCAATATGTGCATGAAAGAGGATCACATATTTTTCTCTGTGATCATTCCGGGTAAATCTAATCACAAACAAAAGATTTATATTTTTTTACAACCCTTAATTGCATAGTTCTAGGTGTTGAAACCTTTGATGTGTCTTTGCGACAAAACTTTACGATGCAAGCTGTACTATTATAGACCATTGGAGACTTTCCTACATTAGAGAAGATGTCCGATTGGAGCACTGTTGGAAAAACAACATGTCCAGTGTGTATGGATGAGCTGCAACCATTTCGACATCTGAATGGTGGCAAACAATCTTGGTTCGATACACATCGTAGATTTTTTCGAGAAGACCATCTGTATAGGAGAAATAAAAATTTTATGCAACACAAGATGGAAACTCGTCCTACTCAAAGTATAAAAAATCGGTGCCCAAATTTTAGAGGAGATTGAGAGGCAAGGATTGAGAAGGATTGTCGAAACTGGAGCAGAAGAGACAAACACTACCATCTTTGTGGTTGGAGAAAGAAGAGCATATGGTTGGATCTTCCGTATTGGAAGACAAATCTTGCACGACATAATCTTGATGTTATGCACATTAAGAAAAATGTATTTGAGAATATTTTCAATACTGTGATGGACACATAAGGTAAAACCAAAGATAATGCTAAGCTGGGGAGGACACAAAAATATTTTGCAATAAGAAAGATGTGGAAAGAGATCCTAATTTTGGAAAATATCTTCAGACATCATACACTCTTGACAAACCATCATGAAAGGCATTTTTAGATTGGGTCAAAGGTTTGCGATTTCCTGATGAATATGTGTTAAATTTGGATCAATGTGTTGACCCAATAAAAGTAAGAATGTTTGGGATGAAAGTCATGAATGTCATGTTTTCATGCAACGTCTAATCCCAATGAATTCAAACATTTTTTGCCAAAAGCTGTATGGGAGGTTTTAACTAAACTCATCAACTTCTTTTGTTGTATAACTGCCAAAGCCATTATTGTCAAAGAAATGAGTACGTTAGAGGAAAACATCGTTGTCATACTATATAAGTTGTAGACAATATTTCCCCCATCATTTTTTGACAGCATGGAACACTTGCCGATGCACATACCACGGGAGGCTAGAGTTTCTAGTCCAGTTCAGTATCAATGAATGTGCCTTTTTGAGAGTTACAAAGTAAACATGATATTATAATTATGTGTCGATTTATATATGTTAAATATACGTAATCCACTAATATGCTTGTGTAGTGATATATAGTATTTATTTTGTGTCATCTGACCTGTTTTTTTGTAGTGATATACACACATATATTTATTTTATGTCATATTTTTAATTATATGATAATTATTGATGTATAAATAAAACTTGATGTATTTTGAGTAGTCATCATTTTCAAAATGGCTAAGAGCAATGGAAATGTGGTGACGTCGGGGGACGTAACCCGGTGTTTAACACCATAACAACGTCAAACACCGCCCCCGAGGCGTTATTAAGGTGTCACCCCTAATGCGTTAAATGTTTGACGGGGAGGAAGAGCCGTTGTGTGCAGAATTCAAGGCCCAAACGACCAAATTAGCTGTTGGGCTATTTAAAAAATATTTTCAATACTATAAATACCCCTATTTTTAACATAAAAAACACACCCAACATTTCTCATTCTCTCTCTATAATTCTTTAAAAATATATTCTATTTATTTTAATTATCTCTACAAAATACTCCCTCCGTCCTATAATGATCTTCCCGGTTCATTTTACGAGGTTTGACTGACTTTATTTTCAATTCAATTTATTTGATTGTAGGTGTAAAATTAAAAAATAAAATTTATATATTTAAAAACTACATCAAAAGTTCTACAAAACAAGTGGTGACAAGACTATATTATTTTATCAAATACCTAACAAAAATAGGTAAAGAAAGTGATTAAAGTTTGACCGGGTAAAAAGTGAGTGAGAAGAACATTTTAGGACGGAGGGAGTATTAAAAATGGGACTATCTTCATATCATGATGAAAAGAGAGCTCACATTTTTCGTTGTTTTTCCATGGGTTACGTTGTTATCTATGGTGGCAACAAGGCGACCGAGAAAAAGTGGAATCGTCATGACGCCCGACCTGATGTCAATGTTTAAACTGTAATCGAGCGGCTACACACGCTTCATTATTCAATGACTACTTCAATACTCTGTGTGTTTATACACTGGAGGATTTTAGCAGTCGTTTTCGGATGAGTCGTTCTCTCTTTTTATGCACGCTCGTCGATATAGAATGCGATGTGTCTTTGTTCACCCGGCGCTTTGATGTGAGAGGCCGACGCGGGTTTAGCAGCGTCTAAAAGTGCACTAGCGCGCTTTGTCAAATGGCGTACGGGAGGACATGTGGTATGTTTGACGAATGCTTGAAGATGCTGGCTCGGAGCATCAGGCCATGTGTTTATAAATTTTCTAAAGCTATTATTCGAAATTATCATAAAAAAGTATTTACCTAAGCCTACAGCAAGCGACATTGACCTGCTACAGGCTAGGCATGCCGCTAAACACGGCTTTTTCGACATGCTTGGAAGCATTGATTGCACGCATTGAGAATAGAAAAATTGTCCCACTGTGTGGCATGGTTAGTTTTCTCAGGGTGATCATCCCAATCCAGATCTACAAAAAGCTCATGAGGCGGCAAGAAAAGGTATAAAACGAGCCTTCGGGGTTGTTGAAGGCTAAGTTGCACATGCTAGATCATCCGTGCAAATGTTTTTCTCAAACATAAATGAGGAATATCATGCACGCATGTGTTATTCTTCATAATATGATCATAGAGGACAACAAGTTTGTGATTTGTCATTACAACCCGGACGAGGAGGTGCTTATGTACGAAGAAGTCGATGAAAAAAAGAAACGAAGAAACCACCAAGAATTTGAAGCCAAGAGATTCACAATGCACTAAAATCGGATTTGACCGAAGATATCTTCAGTCGCTCAAATAATCAGTGATATGTTCGTAGTGTAATTTTTTTATAGGGCATGCTAGGGGTACGCCAAAATGGGGTACCCCATTTGTACACTAGGCAAACACAGACACTTAGTGTCTGTGATTCACAGACACTAAGTGTGTGTGTTTGTCTGTGTTTGCCTAGTGTACAAATAGGGTACCCCATTTTGGTGTAGCCCTAGATTTATTTTTTTATTTAATGAATGCAATTTTTTATTTAATGAATGTAATTTTTTAATTTAATGAATGTAATTTTTTAATTTAATGAATGTAATTTTTTTATTTAATGAATGGAATTTTTTTCATAAATGTAATTTTTTTAATGAATGTAATTTTTTATTGAATATAATTAAATAATTAAATTTTATTAATTTAATTTTAGAAAATGTGTATTTAAAATGTAAAAAATGAAGATTTGAAGCCCAAGTTTGAAGCTCCTGGGCTTCAAAACCATTTCGAGTGAACTTATGAGGTAAATTAAAGCTGACGTGACAGAGAAAGGAAGTTTGAAGTCCGAGGGTTTCACTGGTATTAATAGTGTCCTAAGTACAAAACAAAATGTTACTCCGTATTATTTTATTTTGATTAATCAAATAGTTCGGGTATTTTTTTAAGAAAATATTTTTCTTCCTATTAAAAAACAAAAAATAATTGGGAAATAATTTTGTTTAAAAATAATTTTCTCTTGGAATAATTTTTCCTAGCCAACCAAACTCGACATAATTATAGAATTTACTTTTTTATATTTGTTGTGTACATAAGGTGGAGGGGAGGAATTGTTATTTCAAGAATCCCGCTGACACAAAACAGAAATCATCCCAATTGAAGAGTGCGAAATTTGATCCTGACCTTTCTTTCCCTTGAGGCAAATCTAGCGAAAAACCAAAACAACATCCTGATGCAATGGAGGCAGTGGCATTGCTCTCCTCAGCAGTTTCTGTCATCGGGGTTCGTCTATGTCCAGGAACTACTCAGTCCAAGAAAACCTTTGCTACACGGTACGGTCTGATTTTGCCCCATTCATCTCTCTTTCCCACCTGTGCTATTACTCGCCGCATTTTATTTCTGCAAACTTTTTTGAGACTGGAAGCTGGATGCCTTTTGGAATCTATTCACTTTCAGGAGGATGATTCTTCATCTTCTGTTTCGGGTTTAATGAAATCTAGCATAAGAATATGATTACTTTTTGGTGATGTTATTCTAATCCTTGAACTGTTGAGTGTCTGAATCTACCTGATGCCACTAGACTTTGCAGTTGGGTATTGGTAATTTTTTTCCCCCAATTTGCAGTTTTGTACTGGAAGGGATACTTGAACTTTAAAATACACTCCTCTCTCACTTTCCAAAATGTTTCATTTTTAAGTGGGGAGTGTTTCATTTATTCATGTGAAATTGTGAACAATGCATATATTCTACCTAGAGAGTAATTCAGATAATCCATAATCATTTGTTTGCTAAATCTGAAAAGTGGATTCCAGTCACAGAAAAGATGTGAAGTGAACAACTAAATCCAGATTGCCATATATCTGAAAACATATTGTTATCTTTGTCGTTCCATGCCAGGAATATAAGGTCCAATACTGAGGTTGCTAATCGAATTCGTGCCTCAAATCTCACCATTGATCACATCAGTACTTTAAAGAAGGTGGGATCCAAGGAATCAAGAATTGGCAAGCAACCAATTTCTGTTCCGTCCAATGTGTCGATCACGATGGAAGGACAAGACTTCAAGGTTAAAGGCCCTCTAGGAGAGATGTCTCTTACTTATCCACGAGAAGTGAAGCTGGAGAAGGAGGAATCGGGATCCCTAAGGATCAGAAAGGCTTTGGAGACAAGAAGGGCTAACCAGATGCATGGTTTGTTCAGGTTTTTCTAACCCGCCTTTCTTAATATGTACTCCGTATTTGTTTAGTTCCTAACTCCACCACCCCTAGTGAAGCGACCCCCACATGACCTGTGTGGTAACCAGCACAGCAAGACATTTAACTACGCAATTAGGATAAAACATTTTATCTTAACTAATTTAATGATCTCAGAAAATAATTAAAAAATTGAAACTCTCAAGTCTCACAGCCACAAAGTTCAAGAATAGCACATTGTTTATTCAACATGTTATGCATTACAAAGGAATATACATGTCTATTGAAGTATCTTATTTTCAATATATTGTTGTCTTTCAAGTTTCAACAACAATATCAGTACCGTACAAGCATAGCAAACACTAAATATTACTCGTAATGGAGTATTTGAATAATCTAATTTTTTTCCATAACCACGAAATGAAATGAAGACAGAGGTGGTTATGTTGATGACACTTCCTTGAAATCTCATATGATAAACCCAACTAATTGTGAAGGTTTCTCATGTAATTCTTCATCAAATATTCTCTTCAAAATAAAAGGTGGTGATATTATTTAGAAGTATATTTATATTCATGTTGGTGAACATCAATGCAAAATTAAATAAAGTATTCCACACAAAAACCTTGTGCATGATGGGAGATAAGCACACCAATGGTAGATGTAAAGTATGTCATGTGGTAGAATACTAGCAGCCACTATGTACTTAGTCTTGGTTTATACTTAAAATCCAGAGGGCTTGTACTTCTGAGCGTAGAATATTACTTAGATGGTAGTTTTGCTAAACAAAAAAAAAGGATGGTAGTTTTGGTGGTATAAATTATAAAAGCACTGAAAATTCTTCTTATACAGAACAGAGCATTTTAAATCAGCTTGCAGTAAGTTTTTTTTAAAATGTTTGGATAAGTGAAGGGGGCAGAGTTACTTTTGAATTTGCCCAACTGTTATAATCCGTGTTTGCATGTCTATTAGGCCCAAAATATGTCCTGATTTCCAAAATGCTTGTGAATAATTCTCATCAGAAACAATTCCAGGAATACCGTATGTATCGCTCATATTTTATGTAGTATTTTAATGCCCTCATTGTTTTCTTGATTCAATTATGTAGAGATACAAATATATGATTATATGAAATACTTATGGAGAGACAGCGAGTAGGTAGCATCAGATTAACTCGTTCAATAGACGTCCTGATTGCTGCATCAAAATATAAATAAATCATGCCATCATAATTTACTCAGCGGTTCTGAATATGATGGTCTGTTTGAATGCATGCCCAAATTTTATGGGATCATCCTGACTTTGACAATGACTCAACTGATTTGGCATCGGCGGCAGGACTCTTACAGACAACATGATAGTTGGTGTATCTAAGGGGTTTGACAAGAAACTGCAGTTGGTTGGTGTAGGGTACCGTGCGATAGTTGAAGGGAAAGATGTAGTCCTTAATCTTGGTTTCTCTCATCCAATTAGGATGGCCATCCCTGATGGCTTGCAAGTTAAGGTTGAAGATAGCACCCGAATCACTGTGAGTGGATACGACAAATCCGCCATTGGTCAGTTTGCTGCCTCGATACGGAAATGGAGGCCTCCTGAGCCGTACAAAGGTAAGGGCGTGAAGTATGCCGATGAAGTAATTCGAAGAAAGGAGGGTAAAGCTGGGAAGAAGAAGAAGTGATGCCCTTGCCTTACTTACACTTGCACTCCCCACATGAATCTTTTTCCTTGTTCATTGTAGTATGTCGAATCTCTCTATGTTGCAATGGGAAAACATGTGATTGACATTCATGGTTTTGGAGTGTATCTAGTGTTGCTATTACATTTCCTGTCTAAAAAAATATATTTTAAATTACTCCCTCCATCCCCCGTAGATCTTCCTGTTAGACATTTTTGTTTGTTCTTCATATATTTTCTCATTAGCCCTTTGAATATTTAAAATACCATAACTATCCTCACATACTTTATTTATTACACATCACCTATCTCATTTTAATATACTCCACCCATTTTCATTAAATATGTTTTAGAAAACTTTTACCTTTTTTCAACTCTTCTTAAAAACCATAAAAAGTCAAAATGAGAATATCTTACGGGGACAGAGCCACTACTATTCATAGGTCAAAATATAATTTTTTCTTTACATATTTCTTGTTAGAGTTTATTGCACCATGACCCCCTGTGGTTTGGTAAATATGCACCGTTACACCCTATAGTTGTAAAACTTATGCTGTTTTCCTTCATGGTTCTGATATTGTTACGTCAATGCTCATCTAGATTAAAATATCTTTCAAATATTATGTAAATAGCTCCACTGCCCCTTATGGTTTTGAAAATTGGCACAAACACCCCTTCTTTTCTTTATTGTTTTTTTAAATATTATTTTTTATAATGTTTGAATAATCAATTTTTTTGTGTTTGCAATAAAAATCAATTAAATATAAGAATTAACGTATACTTCATTTGTCTCAATTTAAACATATTAATTTTTTCTCTCCAAAAGAGGTCTTTATTGGTTCATTTTCATGATATGAAAGTCAATCATATATTTTCTTTTTTTCACTAAATCTCATTTCTCATTTTCTATTCATTAAATTTATACCATTTTTTTTATTTTAATAAAAATTAAAATAAAAGAAAAAAGAATATAAAAGAAATTAAAGGGAAAGAAAAGTATATGAAAATAATGCTTTTATAGAATAGCAAAAATTAAGTTATGAAGGAAATCTTTTGTGCATTGGTCCAAAAGTGTTATTAATACATAATTAAACATATATTAAAAACACATTACTCGGTATTCTTTTGGTCCCGACATATTCAAAAAGATAAAAACGTTTTTAGACAAAAACCAAAAATATTTAATTTGAAAAATGAAGTATATGTAAAAAAATTTATTTCAAACGCAATTGTTTTTTTATTTTTTAAAACTTTTTTAAAAATGTAGGGTTGAAAAACTAATTTTTCATTATTTCACAAACAAACATTTTTCTTTTCTTTATGAAAAAAAGAAAAGAAAAAACAAAAAAAAATAAAGAAAAAGGAATTTCCAAAACCATAACGGAGAGCGTTGTTATTCACCTCATATTTGAAGGATATTTTTGTTTAGAGGGTCATTGACATAACAATACCAGAGTCATGAGGGGCAACGACGTAAATTTTGAAACTATGGGGATAACAGTACACATTTAGCAAACCACACGAGGCGTTGGTGCAATTTTCTTGTCGTCATATGTTAAAATAAAAGTCAATTCGTCTTTTGTTTTATAAAAATTTTGATATAATCATTATATATATATATATATATATATATATATATATATATATATATATATATATATGGGTTGGATCAGGTGAGAATGCACCTTAGTGAAAGAAATAAGAATAAAATCTAGCCTTTGGATTGGATGCATTGTGCGGCTCAGATTGCATTCTGCACTCAGATTTTGAGATAGTGCATTTTCAAAGGATTTTGATGCATTTCGACAAGATGCATTTTTAACCCTTTTTGGTGCACTTAATTTTGATGCAATCTTGACCCTTAGATCTCACAATCTAAAGCACCAGATTCATTCTTATTTCTTTCATAAGATCGCGTTTCACCTGAACCAAAATCTATATATATATATATATATATATATATAGGGGGTTTCTGTAAGAATGGACCTTGTGGAGAGAAATGAGAATGAATTATGAATGGTAGATTAAATGCATCGGATGGATGGGATTTAATTAGAAAATTGGATGTTAAATTAGGTTAGCAATAATAGTGGTGCATTATTTTAAGAAAAAATGAGTTAGAAGGGTTTCAAATCTTCTGCCGACACGGTATCGAGCTACCCCCTAGATGATTACAAGGTACTGCCTGAACAGTAGGCCTTACCTTTAGAATGGTAGACATATACCGTCACAATCCAAATTTTTCTGGCGGTACCTGACACTAGGCGAGACCCTATACCGCCTAAACGATACTAAGGTATCGTGACGGTACCCTGGTACCGAGATAGGTATCCTCTGACCTAGAGAGTTTTCCCACAAACGTGATTTTTGAATTATATGTAGGACACGATTTTATTATGTGGCCTGAGTTATCATGTATCTAATTAATTGATTATTGACCTAATAAATACCCTATGTATTCAATTGGTAATTATTCGATGGACGTAATTACCCTTACGACCTAATTAGGGTTTCCCCTTGGGTGTATATATATAGAGGTCATTAGGCAGAGATCTACACACTAATCTTACGCCTCCTCTCTGCCTCTCTATTCTCGTGAGTCACCCCCTCACCTTAGCCATCATAACGATACACCCTAAACGGGAACTCGATCTGCGTGAGAATCATGACCTCAACCCTAACTACGTTTACAGGATTATCAGGTACACATGATTAAATCCCTAATTTATATTTTATGTTTAAGAATTGATCAACATTATAAAATCCTATTTTTGATACAATGCAAATACAAATCAGTATCAGTATCATTTCACAACTAAATACGATGTTTTGATAAATTCAAGAACCTTATTTGATGAATGACGGTAAACTAGGGTGTTAACACTCGACGCTAGGTTGTTGTTTGTTACTAAATAGTATAACGATCATTATTGATTGTTGATTATGATGATTGAACCTTGACTAAAAATAATATCTTGATTTAAATAATGATTATTGTTAGAAAATAGGCCCAACGCTAGAGGAGGGGGGGGGGGGGGTGAATAGCGTTTAAAACAAAATTGCATGAAATTAAAAACGAGAGCGATAAAGTAAAGAGCGTAAAGAAGGAGCACACCGAATTTTATCCTGGTTCACCACAACGTGTGGCTAATCTAGTCTTTCGAGAGACTCTCTCGAGTTACACTAACTCCGTTAAGCTTAAAGGTGCTCAACAAACCGATACAACTTGAGAACTCGAGTCACATGAGCCTCAACGCCTTTGCTCGGAGATACCGCACTCCAAGACTTCTCACGAAGGAACGAAAGACTTCCTTCGAGTTTACAACAAGGGAACAACCTCCCTTAAAGTGTATAGAAACATTTAAACACTCAGGAATAAAACTCTCACAAAGAGTAGATATGAGTGAACTAGTAAACACTCAAGAACACGACAATTTCTTCAAGAATTGGCTCTCAAATAGCTAAGAAAAATAGGGATGCTTATGCAATGAAAGAGTATTGAAATGTTGAAGAATTGTGTGTGAAATGAGACGATTGGGGTGCCATTTTATAGGCTAAAATGGGATAAACCCGTTGCTAGAATTTCCAACAGGATGAAGACAAATTTTTCAGAGATGCAAGGTGATAGTCGATTGTCTAGCCTTGATAATCGATTATCAAAAGATTCCCTGTCCAAAAATTTAAAATTCTATCCGTTGGAGGACAACGGTAACCTAGATAATCGATTGTCAACTAGTGTCAATCGACTATTGGTCCTCTCAGAAGTTCTTGGGTTTTGGCTGCAGACCGTGATAATCGATTGTTGCAAAAGTGACAATCGATTCTTGTATGCTTCAGAAACTTTAAGTTCAAAGCTGTAGATGCTGATAGTCAATTGTCACTAAGGTGATAATCGATTATCACCCAGCTAAGACCCAGCCGGTGAAAACCCGTTTAGAAAAACCGAGGTCCAAAAACGAAGTGTTCCCAAAAGTAAAGACCAAGTTTGAAAAACATTAAATATGGTATAAAATAGTGAAACCAAGGCTTGTTTGATAAAAACCGAGTCTTCAAGGTCGTTTATCACGGGTGTACGGTTTTAACCGCTTTTCACGTGTTAGACCGATTGACCAAGATACAAAAGTGGTTTTTATAAAATAATTATTTAGGAACCTTTTAAATATGCCCAGAGGTAAAAATGAGGTTTAAAATATTGAAAACTACCGAGTTGGTTCGGACGCCGAAAACCGAACGCCGAACACCGACCGAGGTGGTTTTTGGTCTGGGCAAGGACCAGGGTTTTTAATACAATAAAACTTTTAAAAACGTTTATTTTGATCCACAAAAACGTTTTGTGATTTTGTAAAATTATTTTGACTCTTTGAGAACCGAGACTTGAATTGATTGTCGATTTTTATCACAATAAGACCGACTCGACTAAGTCTTCAATTTTGATCTTTGTCCTTGAGTCTTTTGGTCTTGTTCCATGCCATTCTTCACGCCTCAATTCGTTCAATGAAACTCTTCATATCCACGGCGGTTTGGCAATTATCAAAACCTGTCAGAAATGAACACGACTTTAGTTTAACGTAATAAAAAGTGTGTTCCAACAATTATGAATGATTAAGGCTATCTAGAAGAACTCTAAGACAGAACTCATATGACCAATCTAGTTAGGCCCTGCGGGTATGCTGTTCGGTGGCTCGGATTAAAACGTATGTACGGGATCCATAAACTAAACTTGACTATCTATTCTCTTGGGGGTACCACCAACCCAACAATGAGTAGTCCGGTGTTCAATTTTATGCCTTAAAGTTTTAATAGTTTAAGAGCCTGGTTATCTTTTTTGCCTTAAACTAATTATAGTTTAAGAGTTTGGTTATTATTTTTCTTAAACTAGTTATAGTTTAAGAGTCGGGTTATCAAATAAAATAGCCTTAAACTAATTATAGTTTAAGAGTCATGTTATCAAAATATTTGGCCTTAGACTAAGAATAGTTTAAGAGCATTGATACGATTTGGCCTTAAAACTAAGAATAGTTTAAGAGCATTGTTATGATTTGGCCTTTGACTACGAGTATTTTAAGAACACAGTTGAAATTATGAATATTGAAATGAATATTATGTGCATGATATCAAATGATTTGATTATGAATTGAGATTCAATTTTTGTGGATGTATAAGATATCCTTACTCAGCTTCAACGCTCATCGTGTAGTATTATCTATTTGCTACACGCAGGTAAACAAAATAAAGAATGATGTGATTGATCCTGGCGGCAGAAGGGGACACGAGATGTTAGATGGTTGTGTGATGGTTTTGAACTATTCAACAATTAATTCAAAAATAAATTATCGACTATGATGTAAAACTATTTATTAAGCTTACGCAATTAGATAAACTCTGTTAGTGTTTTTGAATATTTTGTGATGATGAAATAAAGTTTCAACTATTGAAATGTTTTAAGTTTTATGATTATCAAGTTAATACTTTGGTCCGAAAGGGGCTGCAGACCTAGACGGATTTAGGGTATTACAGGTGTGATACTAGTTTTTATTTGAAAATAGGAGTTATAATGTCAACATATAAAAGAATTCACCCTAAATAAAAGTAAAACATAGCACTTATTCTCAAAATTAAATTTGAATTCTATATTTTTATCTTAAAAATAAGAGTTTACATTGTGACATTATGACAGTGTATAGTGTCATCCCCACTATAGTTTTGGTACTATATATTGTCATTATTGGCATTGTATTCTTATTTTGGAGATAAAAAAATTTGAAGTTCTTATTTTGAGACTTTTCTTCATGTTTTATTTATAGTTTAGTTCTTTTTCCAATATACAACACCAAAAAACATTATGAAATAATACTATATAGTGTTACATAGTCATGTCTATGTTTTACTCCTAGTCTCCTATTTTGGGTAATTTTTTTAAAAATTTATGTTTAGAAGCATGTTGATTTATGTTACCTGCAATGCAACAAACCTAAGATTAGCACGAAGAAGCAAACTTTTAATTAAAAAATGTTTTAGAATGAAAACTAATTTATTTTAGCATGAACATATTTCAGATTCTGTACAAAATACTCCCTACATCCTTAAAAGATTGACACAATTTGACTTTTTTGATCAAACTATGACATTTTTTGACTATGAATTAAATATAATATAAAATAATTGAATATTATAAAAATTTTATATTTTAAAACTATATTTTAAAATAAATCTAATTTTAATAAATTTACATTATAAATAAATATATTTTTTCTATAATTCAAAAATAAAGAATATTACAGTTTGATTAGAAAAGTCAAAATGCAAGAAATATATTTTAAAATAAACATTACCATTCAAAATGAATTTTATTTGTGTGTACCAGAACTCCAGAAGTACGCAGGTGTACTGTATACATTCTGGCTTATAGTTTCAATCGGGCGAAAGGGAAGAAGAATGAGTTTAGCATCCAAGACCGTTTGCGTTACAGGAGCTTCAGGCTACATAGCCTCATGGATTGTCAAGTTCTTGCTCCAGCGTGGCTACACTGTCAAAGCCACCGTTCGGTTTCCTGGTTTGTTCTCTCGCTCGAGCCCTAGCCACCTCTATCAGATCTTTACATCATAATATTTACTTTCAATAAATCTGATAAATGAATGAGACTCGATTATGTGGGTTTCCCTTTCATTAGTCCGAAATTTGTCATCCCAATTTGATTTCTGTCTTGAGTTCTTGAAGTTAATGAATGATATGTTAATATTCACCCCTCTTTTTGTTATTAACTTTTTCTGTTTTAAGATGAATTTGTGAATTTCCTTCTATAATTTGTCAGGAAGTTTCGTTTATGCCTAATTTGCGGGTTGAGGATGCATATTGTCCATTACCTAGACCTTTCCAATACAGTTGAGACTGCTTTGTTGACTAAATGTAACACAAAGGATGAATATTGGGATTTTTTTTTGAAGCATGTCGTACTTTTAAATTCTGATGCAGATGACCCTAAGAGGACAGAACACTTACTTTCCCTCGATGGAGCTAAGGAGAGACTTCACTTATTCAAGGCAGATTTATTGAAAGAAGGCTCATTTGACTCAGTAGTTGATGGGTGTGAAGGTGTATTTCATACAGCCTCTCCTTTCTATCACAATGTCAAGGACCCACAGGTGCACATATGTTTTGAATTTTGTTTTCAGGCCATTCTGCATATCTATGTGTGTGCGCACTTCTATTTTATGTTGAAATAATTCCTAAGAGTATGATATAAACTTTGTTCTCAATCCTTAGTAATATTTCATCAGCAACTTCTGATTATATCATTTTCACGTGATAATTGAGCATGTAAGGACATCATGCTGAACTAATTGATAGATTCATAAAATGACTAAGTTTATTGTTGATAGAATGTGGAATTCTATTCAATAGTATTAATTATGAAGATGTCTAGTACAAATATTATACATATGTGTGTATACACACAGAGAACAGTTAAGCAAATATTATATAAGGACCCCAATAGTATTAATAATTGTACTATGTGCTATAGTCCCTCCTTAAGCTGATCCAAGGTTTAGGTAACAGAAGCTTGGAGCAGAGAAAACTTAAAGGCAAACAATGAGTGTCTTAGTGAAGATATGAGCCAATTGATTTTCAGATGAAACATGATACATTGTCATAGAATGTCTTCTCAGACAAAATGACAATTGAACCCAACATGATTCATATAGTTGTGTAAAATAGGGGTCTTTGCTATGCAGATGGTGGACTTATAGTTAGAAAAAAAGTCATGGACTTTTGATTGGCATTCTCTGATCTTTGAGGAGATAAGTGCGCCATATAATTCAAACAGTATTTGTGCCATTGCTCGTTTCTCAGCCTTGATGGAGGAGCGCGATACTTTAGATTGTAAATATGAAAGTGTAAGAAAATCATGAATCTAGAGGTAGGGCATTGATTGTTAATGTCATTTGCCCAATTTGAGTTAGGAAAAGCCCAAAGCTACATATCCCTTGCTAAAATAGGAGATTGTGAGTGCAAACATTTGTGAAGAATCATTCGACCTTTTAATAGAATGTTAATAATGTTAATAATGATATAACATACTATATTTGCAAGGAATCATGTTAACTTAGTTTGCTACTAACGACATGATGCATTTTGTGCAACAACTCTAAAAGTGAGATTATTTAGTGTATATTAAAGTTCCGAGTATAATTAACAACTCTACAAAAGTTGGATTATTATGTGAAAAATTTTCATTATTCAATTACTATATTCAGATCATTTCAAATGAAACACTAGGGGCCCGTTTGGTGAGTTTTGGAGATGTGATTAGATGTGAGTTTTGAAATCCGGGAGAAATTATACGAGTTTTGAAATCTGAAATGAAGTTGTTTGGAGAAAACAAAAATAAAATCAAGTCATAGTCACATCTGTTTGGTGAGCAATTAAGAAATAAAATGCAGGTATGGAATACCAAATACTCCATCCGTCCATAAATTTTCCCATTTGACTTTTCATGGTCTACAATGCAACACTTTAACTATTAATATCTTTATTTATATATAGATATATACTATAAATTATATAATATTTCAAACTATATTTCAAAATGAATCTATTTATATTAAATTTATATGATAATTCAATATACTTTTTTTTTGTAGTTTTTAGTTAAAGTTTAAAATTTTTGACCAAGAAAGTCAAACTAGGAAGAATTGTTTTGGGCAGAGGGAGTAATATTTTAATATAGACATATTTTATTTTTATTTATTAAAATGCATAATAAAGTTACAATTGTATTTCTTATTGATAAAATTTTAATGTTTTTTATTTTATACCGTGTAGTATATTAGAAAATATCAACTAAGAATGAATAAACAAACAACTGCACATATTAGAAAATATTAACAAAAAAATTTAATAGACTCATTTTAATCACCAAGAAATAAGTAGACTATTTTTTATGAAAGTTAAAATTATTTATAATGAAAGCAAATGACAATGTCGAAACAACAGTTCAAAAATACGAACAATTTTTAAAAATTAACATGAATATGGACGACTCAAAAATCAAGAGGAATGGAAAAAATCAATTAGATTGTCCGATTCAACAAATTTAACAAGATAGGTCTTTAAAAAATAAAATGCCTTGTTCGATTCAGGTTAACCTCAAGATTGGTCAAAAACTTTGAAAGAAGTGACAAAGTGGAAACAAACTATTTCAGATTTAAAAATTGCAGTGAATAGAAGAAGATGAAAGAAGAAAAGAGATAGAACAAATAATTGTGCGAAGAGGAGATGAAGAGAAACGAACGTGTCGACCAAGAGTAAAAACAATGCAGTGAATGGAAGAAGATGAAAGAAGAAAAGAGAGAGAAGAACAAAGAATTGTGCGAAGAGGAGATGAGGAGAAACGAACGTGTCAACCAAGATTAAAGGGCAGACACAGAAAAAAAGTATGAAACTTTTGATATCGCTAATATGAGCCAAATGTGGAGTATGCCTGTTTTTGGAGATATCTCATATCTCTTGATTTCATATTTCGATTCTTTTTTAGCTCATCAAACATCTTTTTTAGCTCATCAAACATTCTTTTTTTAACTCATCAATTATAAAGACTTGCATCTTAATTGCTCACCAAATGGGTCCTAGTTTATTAATGAATACTAATTCAAGGAAAATTGGATTCTTTCTCCAGCCAACCTTTTTCTTTAGCCTAAGTTCACGATGCACATTGGCACCACTTTATGAGGCTAGAGAAAGAATGCAATAGTGAATGAAATACTCCCTTCGTTCTAAAATAAGGTTTCACAGTTCACCGAACACAGTTATTAGTTAAGGTGAAAGTGTGTGGTTATGTTTTGTACAGAGGAGAGCGTGGGCATAGCACTTAAGTGAGTGATACTGTGGTCCTGCTTAGTTGGGTTGTGCATGTGCTGAGCTACCATGTTTATTGCAAATTAGATGTATGCACGCGTAATGATGAGATATTGAAACCACCAATCATACTCCCAAAGTTCTTGGGCTGACCGCCATTGGTGCTGACCGATAAGTGCAATATGTTAGGCTTGCACGTTGAATAAGTTCATGTGCATATTTTGATTGATGTATTATACTCTATTTGTACAATTAACCTCAATAAACAACAACACCAAAGCCTTATCCCACTATGTACGGTCGGCTACATGGATCAAACAACGCCATTGCACCCTATCATGTATCATATCTGCTTTGAGATCATTCACGCGAAGGTCTCCCTTGGTCAATGCTTGCCAAGTCCTCTTAGGTCTACCTCTTCCTCTAGCCACATGCCTATTCACCATTTGATCAACCCTTCTCACAGGATGCTCTAGTGGTCTTCTCTCCACATGTCCAAACCACCTAAGACGAGTTCCCACCATCTTTTCTACAATAGGTGCCACTCCAACTTTAGCTCTCATATCTTCATTCCTTATTCCATCCATACGCGTATGATCAGTCATCCAACGAAGCATCTTCATTTCTGACACACTAATCTTGTGTTCATGTTCACCCTTTGCTGCCCAACACTGTGTCTCATACAATATAGCTGCTCTAATCGCAGTATGGTAACATTTTCCCTTTAGTTTTAAAGGTACTTTTTGTCACATATAAAGCCCAAAGCACTCCGCCATTTTGACCAACCAGCTTGAATCTTAAGATTAACATCAACCTCTATTTCTCCATTGTCTTGAATGATACACCCAAGGTATTTAAATCTGTTTACTTGTAGTATAGTATTTTCTCCAACTTTTAGCTCGATGTTACTATTTCTCTTTCTGTTGCACTCCATATACTCTGTTTTAGTGCGACGTATAGTCGTATACGCAAGCCATGCAACTCCAAAGTCTGTCTCCATGAATCAAACTTCGCATTCAAATCCTCTCGTGATTCGCTCATAAGGATGATGTCGTCAGCAAAAAGCATGCACCATGGTACAAATTATTGGATATGCTCGGTAAGAACGTCCAATACTAGTGTAAAAAGGTATGGGCTTAACGATGATCCTTGGGGTAATCCAACACCGATGGGGAATTCCCATGTTATCCCTGTTTGGCTTCTCATGCTCGTTGTAGCACCATCGTACATGTTCTTAATCACATGAATATAAGCAATCCTTCTTTTTTCTCTAGAACCTAACACTATACCTCCCTTGGTAGATTGTCATATGTCTTTTCCAAATCAATAAAAAGTCATGTGTAGAATCTTTCTTTTCGCTTCAGTACTCTCCATCATTCTTCTCACCAAGTATATAGCCTCTGTAGTTGATCTTCCTGGCATAAAACCAAATTGGTTCTCTAACACCGAAGTCTCTTGTCTCAACTTCCGTTCAACTACTCTTTCCTACAACTTCATCATATGTTGATCCCTCTGTAGTTTCCACAACTCTGAATATCTCCTTTATTCTTGCAAATAGGAACCAAAATGTTCTTCCCCCATTCGTTAGGCATCTTCTTAGATCTTAGAATCTCGTTAAAAAGCTTAGTTAGCCACCGAATGCCTTTTCCTCCTAAACCTTTCCAAACTTCAATTGGAATGTTGTAAGGGCCCATGCTTTGCTATTCTTCATTCATTTTAGGGCTTCCTTCACTTCACTTTCTCAAATTCTTCAATAATAATTGAACTTTTTTGTCCTTCTCCCTCGTGTGTAGCCAATCGGAGCATGAGGGATTCCCATGCTCCTCTGCTCCTCATTAAATAGATCGTTGAAGTAGCTCTTCCACCGGTCGTTTATGCTTTCATCGGAGACCAAAACTTCACCATTCTTATCTTTAATGCACTTAACATGGTCCAAATCCTGCATCTTTCTTTTATGATCCTTTGCAATCTTGTAAATACATCTTTCCCCTTCTTTCGTACCCAAGGACTGGTAAAACCCTTCATACGCTCTCATTTTTTTACTTACAACCAATTTTGTCTCTGTCTTATACCTTTCCTTACTTTCCACATTGCGATATAAAGACCACTCCTTGAGATGTTCCCGCTTTACCTTTATCTTCTCTTGCACACTAGTGTCCCACCACCATGATTCTTTGTCTCTTGCTTTAGTACCTTTCATTTCTCCAAGGGTTTCTTTTGCCACCTTTCTAATAATATCTGCCATATCACACCATAACTCTTCCGCAGTTCCATGTCTATCCCATTTTGCTTTTTCTACTAAATGGCTTTAGAAATCCATTTGCTTATCCCCTTTCAACTACCACCATCTAGTCCTTGGGTTCCCCTCATGGTGACTTCTCCTTACTTTTCGTTGGATACAAAAATCCATAACTAGCACTTTATGTTGGGTGGTCAAACTCTCTTCAGGAATAATTTTGCAATTAGTACAAAATTTTTGATCTGATTTCCTTAGCAGAAAGAATTGAATTTGAGAGCATGTCCTCCCACTCTTATAAGATATAAGATGCTTGTCTAGCTTCTAAAGACAAATGTTTGCAATAAGAAGCTGGAAGGTCGAAGAGAAATCTAAGATGGTTTTACCTTCTGCGCTCGTTACCCTAAACCCATGATCTCCATGGATTTGTTCATATCCACTCTCATCATTTCCCACGTGTCCGTTTAAGTCTCCTGTATACCTTATAATTTATATTACACCTTCGAAGTCTTTCCAAAACCTTATCTCGTGGTGTTCCTGTGAACTGACTTGTGGTGCATAGGCACTAACCACATGAAGAGCATGTCCTTCTACTACCAGCATTAATGCAAAATCTCCCACCCTCTGAACATTGACCACGTCCTTCCATTGTTTATCTACAATGATACCAACTCCATTTCTGTTCTTCATCTTTCTTATATACCATAGCTTGAAGCTTGAAGTGTCCAACTTCTTCACCTTTCCCGGTGTTGAATTTAGAAGTCCTCACATGTAAACACAAGGATGCAGTTATTATCTTTTGTGAATTGATGGACATAGATAAGGTTGGAATTTATGGATGGGACGTGGGTCAGATTACACCAACAATAACCCGGTATAATCCCACGAAAGTAGGCTCTGGGGAGGGTGGGTTTATGCAGACCTCTTGCCCCTACCCGAAAGTAGAGATGTTGTTTCCAAAAGACCCCCCGCTTGAGCAAAACAAAAAGCATAGAGCACGAAAGAAAGAGCAAGCTAAGGGTAGAGAAAAACACAACACAAGAAACAAAATGAGGGAAAAAAGACAAGTCGCCAAGCAAAGAAAGCAATCAACAATAAGAGCAAAGGGCTAACTATCTTAATCCAAAAAAGCTAGAGAAATAACACTAAGTCCCAAAAAGCTTACCAACTACCCTAGTCCTATATCTCTATACCCTCCTATCTAAGGTCATGTCCTCAATTAGGGCTAAAAACCCCAGATCTTGTTTGATCACATCCTTCCAATTCTTCTCAAGTCTAACTCCTTCCTCCACCCTGGCAGACTATCATAATCCTCTCACACCTTTGCATGCCACCCCCACCTGTCTTTTGATAACCTCATTCTGGATCTATCCAACCTTGTCTGGCCACACATCCACCGCAGCATACGCATCTCTACTGCATGCAGTTGACAAACGTGGGTTTTCTTCACTGCCCAACTATATGCTCCGTAAAGCATAGCCGGTCTTACTACAAACCGATAGAACTTCCCCTTCATCCTTACCAAAATCTTCTTGTTGCAAAGGACCCCTGAAACATAGTTATCAAGGCGTCGCCTAGGCGACGCTTAGGCGTCTGGGCGAGGCTATGTGGACGCCTAGTTGGTCGCCTAGCTTTTTTCTCCCTGGGCGACTTAGTGACTATCTTGGAGACGCATCTACGTTTTAGAAGCGCAAGGGAACGCGCAGGATAGAGAGAGAAGACGGAGGAGAAGATAGAATGAAGACGTATCTTTCTCGCAAATCATGTGTCGCGGTCTGCAGAGGCTTCCAGCGGCTCCAGTCTCTGCAGCGGCTCCCTGTGTCTTTCTAACTCTCTATCATCTATCATTTAGACTAGTGGACTAGGTCAAATAACTGGGCTAGGTTCATTAAAAGACTATTGGACCTTTACACCAGAGTATAAGGCCCAAAATTTAATAGGCCTTTTAAAAGCTCATTCATATATATATATATATATATATATAGTATAATACTCAATTTCATGAAGGTGGTATCACTGTTCATTTTAATTAATTATATCATATTATATGCTTTAACATTAGTACCTATAAAATTTTTATGGTCGCCATAACCCACTCGCCCAGCGGACGCCTAGGCGGGCGCCTATTCGCCTAGGCGATTGGAAGGTGCTCTAGCGCCCAGCCTCGCCTAAACTATGCCCTGAAGCGAGCTTCCACTTTGCCCAAGCGACTCCTATATGATGAACAATATCCCCATCTATCTCCCCATCTGCGTGAATGATCGAACCGAGATACCGAAACTTCTCTCTTTTTGGTACTGGGGGACAATCGAACCAAGATACCGAAACTTATCTCTCTTTGGTACTGGGTTAGAATCAATCCTAAGTTCCATTTCAGATTCTGACATCCAATCTCCAAAGCCCCAAGTACTCAGTCTTAGTCCTACTCACTACTCAGCTTGAAGCCTTTGGATTATAGAGACTGTCGGCACTTGTATCCAAAATCCGATCCGAATTCCAAACCATGGTGTTGTTTTGAGAGGTATAGTAGGCATGACACGGCTACCAAACTTTGATGAGATAGCGTATGAATCATCGTAACGAACTAACAAGCACTTGCCGTGTGCCCGTGTTTGCCACGTATTTGAGACGTGACATCACTGGAGGAGGATCGACTTCCCTGGCTAGTCAGATCTCTGCGTTAAAAGCCGGTGCTCCTGCCGCCGTATGCTAAACTGCATCCAAGACTCCAGAACTGCCATTTCAGCTACCATGGTAGCAACCACGCCCCATGCCTCTGTGTTACCCTCTACATGATGATTTCATTTCTTTTTTGACTTCTCAATTTCTGTCAAGAAGCTGTAGCATCTAGATATCCTGAGTACTTGGTTTGAGTTATATAAGCCAAATGACAATAAACTCTGATATGTGGTGCATTCAGCTGTGTGGTAAGGTAATTGTAGCTTATTTGTGCTTCAAACTTGTCATTGAGCCCTATTTTTTCTCAGGTGGAGTTGATTGATCCAGCTGTGAAGGGGACACTCAACGTTCTTGGTTCATGTGCAAAAACACCAACTGTCCGGAGAGTGGTTTTGACCTCTTCTATTGCTGCTGTTTCTTACAATGGAAAGCCACGGACTCCTGAGGTTGTAGTTGATGAGACCTGGTGGTCCAGTCCAGATTTCTGCAAAGAAATGGAGGTAAATGAGATATCTTTTTAAGCACTCTAATAAGGAAGTTTGGGTCAAAAGTGGCTAATTAAGCTCCGTTGTTTTTTAGCATAGCTTGTTCGACTGCAACAGCAGCTTATTCATTGGATAATTAATAAAGTAGTGTTGAAGTTATTTTTTAGCTGTAATGGGTGAAACACAGGACTGTTAGTTCTATCTTCTTTCATTGTTTTATTTGAAAACTGTGAACGCTGGTCGTACTCTTTCAATTTTTGTTTTCCTTTTTTCATTGTTTAATTTTTGTTACCAGATGTGGTATGTTCTTTCAAAAACATTGGCTGAGAAGGCTGCTTGGGAATTTGTGAAGCAGAAGGGTATGGATATGGTAACAATAAACCCAGCAATGGTTATCGGTCCCCTTTTGCAGCCAACATTGAATACAAGTTCTGCTGCAATCTTGAATTTGATAAATGGTATGTCCTGACCTTTCTGTATAGCATTGTTATCTTTATTCTTCCTTTCTTTTTTCAACTGAGTCTTGAAAACATGGTCGATGAGAATATGCAAGTTACCAGTGCAATTCTTCAAAGATATAAAAGATTATCTGAAGTGGATATGTTTTTAAGAATAAATCAGACATTTGGGATGATCATGCCTATCAAAAAACGTTCAGATACTGAAGTGTTTTTTTTCTTTTTTTCTGAAATGCTACTTGCCATATCGAGTTTACTTCAATGCAGGTGCAGAGACGTATCCCAATCTTTCATTTGGATGGATCAATGTCAAAGATGTTGCCAATGCACATATTCTAGCCCTTGAGAATCCTTCAGCTGAAGGAAGATACTGTTTAGTTGAGCAAGTTGCACACTACTCAGAGATTGTGAAAAAATTACTTCAGCTTTATCCAACTCTTAGACTTCCGGAGAAGTAAGTTCCCCTTCAAGTATTATTACTTAAATTAGAAGGTGCCTAGTTTCCAAATGATTGATCATAGATGCAGTATTGTAAAAATTGGCAGAGGCAAAACATTGGACGCCCTTAGTAGTAAGCCAAAAGGGGAAAATAAAATCTTCTTTGTGCAAAATTTAAAAGTTTGCCTTTCCTTTAACGAGGGGCCAACCAGGCAACCAAAACTTTATTTAAGGGACGGAGGGAGCTTTTATTTCTAAAATTGGGTTTATTATATATTAAAAGCAGGTCGCCTGTGCCCTTTTCGGGCGCCTAGATAGTGATTTACACATTTGATCATTTTTTTTCCTTTGACAACTCGCAGATGTGCGGACGACAAGCCATTTGTGCCTCTATACCAGGTGTCAAAAGAAAGGGCCAAAAACTTGGGGGTCGTATTTACTCCCCTGGAAGAAAGCCTCAAGGAAACTGTCGAAAGTTTGAAGGAGAAGGGATTCTTTGGAGCCTCTTCCGCAGCCGTGTGATAACGATAAATATTTCCCCGTTATTTTCCGCTTACTTGCTTTTAATTCCATGGCCCTTCCTTTTAGTGAATTTCTAAAGATTAAGGTTTCCTTTCCATCACATGCAAGAATTTGTTTGTGATAAAACGGAATTCAGTTTGAATATTGCTGCTCTAGTGGTTTTAAAAAGATTTTTTCCCAGAATAATTCCAACTATCTGATTTTAAATAATTCTAGCGACTATGTCTATCTCACAAATAAATTCACTTGTCCAAATTTTTAAACTTTAATCACTTCATTTAAAGTGACACCAATGCATGGTGTCGTTTTATGACATTCGTCTACATTGGGGCCCTAAAGTATTTTGTTTGAAAAACTAGTGGTTCTTACCTTTCCTTGCCTCAAACTCCAATTAGGGTGAGTTATGAGTGTCATAATTTCTTTCACACTCTAAGTGGGTGTCATTTTAACCAAGTTGAACTGTAGTCATGGTTATCATAAATTCATTAAATTGTTTTTTGAACTAGTGATGAATTCTAGACCCGGGGTAGTAAAGGAAAGATGAATTTGTTTTATTAGAGCATGTCCCCCTAGGGTCTAGCTTTTGAACCCCTCAACCTGTAGGCTCGATATCTGATATATTAGCACACTTTTCAAGCTGAGAGAAACCCTAGATCTCTCTCCTTTCTAGCCCTTCACTCTCTACTTTAAAGAAAAAGAAAATAAAATAAGGGAGTTAAGACCCTTTCTATTGTTTTATTGAACGTAGATACATGCCAAAGACGGGCCTTGCTGATTAGTTCGGCACAAATAATTTAAAATAATTCTATCTACAAAAAAATTTCCAAGGGTCCGTTTGGTGCTCGAAATTGATAGAATTGTAATTGAATTGAGAGTTGAAATTCTATTTTGATTTGAGTTCTCCATTTCCAATTCATTTTTGGCACTAAAATTTCAAATCTACATATTTTTGTGCTACCAAAGAGCAGAACTGGAATTGTTGTCTTTAATTTTAATTCCATAGTTTGAATTTGTGTATCAAACAGAGCCTAATTCTATCGTAATTTGCCAGTATGGTAAAAAAAATTGGTTGGTTCACAAGATTTTTATGATATGATAGTTTCCAAAATGGCCTAAAATGTATAGAAACACATTTTGCAAAAGAAGGCGAAAAAATTTCCCACGTTTACTTCAGCTATGTTGTTCAAAAGACCGAGCTGGAAGCACATTTTTCGACATGATACTTTCAAATTTTCTATTGAACTAGTTTCAAAATCAAGTTGCAACAAAATGCAAGCTTAACTACCCCATCGTCGCTACTACTCCGTAGAATTTCACCTATTAGGTGTGGATATTTAGACGTGGATGATTTCCCCGCTAATTAGCGGCGACTTAGTGGGGGACTATTCTCCCTCCATTTGAAATTTTAAATAGGGGGGTTTTTTCCGCTGCTAATGTCGCAACTAATTGAAATAAAATAGGTAGATATATTCAAGAGAATAATTAAAATGAAAAAGGACGGTTTAAAAACATCAAAGATTTATTTTAAAAAAAATAGAATAAAAATAACGGCAGACGCATCCCCCTCCTAATATCAAATAAGAATAGCGACGAACTTATAGCGACGAAATAATCTCGCTAGGTTCCCTCTAAATCACAATTAGCAGCGGATTTCAGAGGATTAGCAGCAGGGTTTTCCTTCCCCTCTTTTCGCAATATTTTTTGTAGTGCCTCTCACCAAAACATCCAATGGCTGGAAAATTTTTCCTCTCAATCGAAGGATGAATAATCTGTTCAGAAATGCCTTCTTGAGGGTGCAAAAATGGGCTGAATTCAATTGGAAAAGAATGAAGAGTAATTTCTATTCTTGATTGTTCATTTCCAAAACAGAGCTTTGTAATAAATCTTTCAACTTTCTAACGTATTTTTTTCCCATAAAATTCTCTTTCCAAGTGCTTAAACTACACCCTAAAATATGTTCATATAACGGGTTACGACCAAGCTACCCCAGGCCTATTCCGGATAGCAAAGATTGGGTCTGATGTTTTACTTCCCTTCTCCCATGAGTTCCTCAAGGCTCGAGGAGTGGGAGGAGGCCAGCTTATGGGTGGAGGAAGTACCTTCTTAACCTAACTCGGACCACACCCAAGAAGCGAGGCCCAAGTTCATTAGCCCAAGAACTATGTGACAAGTCGATCACGGTCAACCCTCGCCAAAGAGCTCGTGCTCGTCCCCTCTGTGTGGGCCGAACGCGAAGCCTTGATGGTTTCACCACAAGCCGATGCTGCCAGATCAGAGCATTTCTTGATTAGCGCAATGACGCTTTAATCGCTCTGTGTCAACACATCCGTCACCAATATAGGATTCGGCTAGGGGCATTTGCCACATACATTGAATCCGGAGTGAAGCAAGGCATTACACAATATATGGTTCCATGTTCATCATCTTGTTCTTCGAACCTCTTTGATTATATGCTTTTATTTCCATTGTTAATAATTCCGACGTCCTCATTGGATTATTTGGTGGGATTAATCACGTACAATATAATGGATGTTGAAACAAGATCAAGTAAAGATGATTGGACTTTGGGTGATAGTCACACCTCACCAAACAACTAAACTCACTCCTTAAACTAATTCCATTTCACTATTTTTGATTTTCTAAACCATTTTCAATCCAATATTTCGCATAGCCGTATACACATATGCATGAACATTTTTTAAGATTTTGATATAATTGTCTAATAAGTATTTCCTCATACCAGATTTAATCTTACTATTTGACATTTTTTTTTGTCAAAGTTTGTAAACTTTGACATCGATATGAAAAAATATACATTATATTTTGATATAAATGTTATCGTAATAATTTATTTTGAAACGTAGTTTGATATATTAAATTTTTATCTATGCATAAATATCAATATTAATAATCATAATGTTTCCTTGGAGGCCGTAAAAAATTAAATAAAAAGATTAAAAGTTGTTTAATAATGATGTACACTTATTAAAATTATAAAAATCTTTTTTAACAAATAGAAAAAATGTTGAGTAGTTTCAGAAAATTATACCGAGCTTTGTTTTTTTTAAATTAATAAATCTTATAAAACCTTCTATTTAAAATAATAAAACATCTATATAGATTTAAAAAATTAAATATTTGACTTTTTGTGATATACTACCTCCGTCTCTCCGTCATAAATCTTCCCAAATCGACTTTTTGTGGTTGTTATGAAGAGTTGAAAAAAGTGGAAGATTATTAAAAGACCCTTAATGAAAGTGGATGGAGATTTTTCTTGGTAAAGAGAACAGATTTCTTGGACAAACAAAAAAGGCATTTGGGAAAATTAATGACAGATGGATAGAGTAAATTTTTTCAGAAGTAATAAAATGAAATAAATGGTGGATAGTTTTAAAATCTATATATAACACAATGTTGTTTTTGAAATTACTAAAGTTTTTATATAACTTTTTAAAATAATACAATTATGCATCATGAGGTTTCAACTTCCACGGTGACAACTGACAAGGTGAAAAAGAGATCATAACCGTACCGGTGACAAATGTCAAGTGTTGTGGAGATGCTTGGAAACCGTACGTAGTAGGTTGTCGCAATGTCCTGATACAAGTGAGCTCTACAACGTTGTTTCCAAGGTGCGAGACACAAATCGTGGAGAGTTTCAAAGTAGTTTGCGACTTCTGCAAAGGACTAAAAAGTCTGCCAGAAGATAGATGAGAAACTAGACTTTTTCTCGTGTCCAGTTCATTGTTAGAAGAACTTGTGATTTCTCAAACTGCCTATGCTTCATTGAGATGTTTGCATTTGTTGTTTCTGTGAATAAGAATCATCATTATTTGGTAGTATCAAGATGAAATTAAATTTCAAATATGTATTCCTACAACTGCCAAACAAAATACAGTATGAATTTGAAATCCCAGAAATTAAAATTCCAGTGTTTTTCAAACATCAATTTTTTTATGTCGAGTTTCACATTTTAAATTTTAGATATAAAATCCACTTATTTAAATGAAAATATGATTCCCAAAAAGAGCCTCAACGAGTTTGTACCGATATTTTTTTTTTAAAAAAAAAGACTAACTATTGAATGGTACATCAGATCAAACATACCAAAAAGTGAGATGTGATTTGTAATTTCTTGTGATCAAGGAAGCAGACATGACTGCATTACATAAGCTACAGATACCAATTTATCCCAGCAGCATATATATCATCAAGAAAAACATGAGATTACAACCATTGCTACTCTTTGCTAAGATCGATTCCGGCCTTCTTAGCAACAGCATCAAGTCCGTTCTTCTCTATCGTCTTTAGAGCCTTTGTTGACAAGCGCAGTTTGACAAAGCGTTTCCCGGATTCCCACCAAATCTTTTTGTACTGAAGGTTCACAAATTGCAACCGTTTTGTCTTGTGGTTGGAATGCGAAACCTTATTTGCCCTGTTCGCCTTCTTACCCAATAAGGGACACTCTCTGCCTGAAAACACATACAATTCATTAGTTTTATTATCCACAACTCTTTTGTACAACAAACCATAATGCAATTGGATCATATTAGGCATGGTTACTCATAATATTACTTCAAATAAAAATTCAACTGTCTACAGATGCAGCAAACCTGATTTCTTCCATTACCCATCCTGAAAGAATGATATTTTAATGAGATGACAGTACATGGATTGCCAACTAGCATCTTTTACAAAGATTTAGAGGTCACAATGGACTAGTGGACTAGCCGACTAGTTGGCCTACAAGTTATTGACTAGTCGACAAATCACAATTAGTAATGGAATTTTTAAAATTATACTCCATATATATCACCATTCACCAAAGATAACTTTATCTGAAGTATATATTTGTAAGATGGAATATCATTACCATAACAAAATTATGTTTAAAGGTAGCACAGAAACTCACATAACGAAGAGTACATAAGAAACAAATATCCTTCAATCTTCAAGACCAACAAACCAACAAAGATAACAAGCACAAAAATAACATATTAAAATATCTAAGTCCATATTTCAAGTTACCAAATATAATCATCCAACATTATGAGAAAAATCAATCAAAGATGGAAGGAGCGTATAGAAGAAAAGAAGGGTTGGCAAATCCGTGAGTTGCGACTTGGGTTGTGCTAGTTTCATCAAGTAGGAGGTGTTTTTTTATATAGCTTGGACTGCTTCTTAAGCTTTAATGGAATTTGGGGCAAGGCGGGTCGGGTAAAATTGGGTAGGGTTACAAACAAAGACTAGACGAA